TGTGAAAACCTCAAATCTTACATAAAATATATCAAATAAAAAAAGTTTTATTTACATACCTAAAGCATATGTGCTTATGTAAGCTTCATTTTTATTTCATAATAGTACAGATACTTAAGTTATACTAAATTAATTTAGAGTTCACGTCATGGACATATTTCTGAATTACATGTTATCCTTTAACATGGCAACATATAAGAAAGCATAAGAAGTATTTAATAAGGAAGATGCCTGTAATTACTTTGATTTCAATTTCAAGGCATGATTGTGTATGAATATTTGTCTGTAGTTGAAATATATAAAAAAACCAAGAAAATGTACACATGAATAGACGGAAATAAGAAGTGGGAAAAGGTCGGGATACTGAGATGGTGGACCGACAGTCGCAATGCATATCGTCAGCATCCAGCATCCTGCCAATGAAAGGAGGAATATTACAAGTAATGGTTTCTTCGAAACAAATGACTGTGTTTCTGCGGATATTTTTTCTTGTTTCTTGAACTTACTTTGTTTTGTTTTAGCATCCTGTGGTGTACATTTTACAGAATAACGTAACAGGTCTCTTAAGCCAAGATTAAGAGTTAACATAATAGAAACCGAATAAAATACAGTTAATGCAATATATGAAATCAGAAGCCCATCTTTTAGTAAAAGTGGCAACATACTGAAAGTAGAAATATAAAGAAACCAGAAACAAGGTAACGGCTCTATGGGAAGATAAAGAGCGACCGGTACAGCCACGAGAAGTATGCTTTTCTCATGAACTTGAAAAGAGAACAGGAAGAACGCAAGCGAAGAGTTAATGACAGAGAGCAGAAACTTATGTGATCTCGGTCGAAGAAGAATATCTATACTACTTGGCAGAACAGCCAACAGCGTGACAAGAAGACAAACGTTTGCCATCTGCAAGTTGGTGAATGTATTTCTAAACTTGCAGATAACATTCAAACAACACCATACATTAGAAACCTTGTCCTCAAAAACACCTCTAGCGAGGGGGAATAAACGATGAAGAACCTGTACTACAAGGTCAACATTCTTCAAGAATGGAAACCATATTACAAAGAAAGTGACAATGACAACTGATGCCAGAGACAGCAGCTTAATTAATCCAGTCATAACAAATGGGTTTTGTTTTGGCAGGCATTTTCCTAGAAGATAACAAAAGAAAGGAAG